TGAGGGGCTGAGCCCAGGTGGTCCGGGTGGGGGTGGGGCTCGGTCCCTGCTGTCCCCCTTCCCTGCCCCTCCAGGACACTCATGGCTCCCCGAGGGTGGCCAAAGCGTAGAGTGTGTGCCGGTGAAGTCGTTCCCAGGCAAGTGGCGGGCTGGGCATCGGTGGGAAGACTGAGGAGCCCGGGGCCAGGCTGCGGAGGGGAAGGCAGAGGTGGGTCACACTGGGCCAGCAAGTAGTGCTGCCACCGGCAAGCAGCAAGCCCATCCTGGGGCCTGGAGACTGCAGTCCTCCCTTCCCCCAAGTGGCCCCTGAGGCCCATGGTGAAGGCCATGGATTGCACCAGGCTTGGGGGGATGGGTTGCCTGCACAAGCCAGGCTAGCAAATATTAGTTGTGGGCGCCCACTCGTGTGCAGAGTAGGGATTAAGACAAGGCAGGGGGCCTGCCCCAGCATCCCTCCCCGACAGCAGGTGGAAGGACGCAGCACCTTAGGACCTAAGACCCCAGAATGGAGCAGACTGTGAGGGGTGGAGTCTACACACGACCCATGCGGCGGACCGGCTGTGTGTGTTGGGGGTGGGGTGGGGGGAGGCGGGGCTGCTGGCAGCCCGAAGAGATGTTCTCGGTATGGACCGGCCTCCACCCACACTCCAGCCAAGGTGCCCTCTCTAGGGAGCGGCGTGGACTTGTAGGGCCCTCACCTGTAGCCAGACACGGTGTCCTCACTGCTGCTTGCAAGCCGATAGGCGGCGAATCTTGCTGCTTGCGGAGCAGGCCCGGCGGGCAGGGTTGGAGGCGCTGGTGCGGCGCTCAGCCCTGGACCTGGGACCCGGCTGGGCGGTCTCGGTGCCATTCACACACACGACCTTGGGCAGACCCCGGCTCTGTCCGTTCTGAGCAGCCTCCTCCTCTATGACCTGTCCTGGGAAGGTACAGCGCAGTGCCCTGAGCAGGGGCAGAGGCAAGCCGTTGGTCCCCACGCACAGCATGCTGGGAAGGATCACCACTCTAGTGCGCACGCGCACTGAAGCTACCTTGACCTTTGCCAGCGCACAGGGACGCATGCACCTGTGGTGGGGCTGTGGGGGAAGAGGCGGCAGAGGACCAGGTCGTGTCTCCTACGGGGCTGGCACGTTCCAGTGCCTTAGGCCGCCCTCACAGTGACAAAAGTTGCTGTCGGGGAAAGTAGGCCAAGGTGCCTGGTGAAGCCCTGCAGATCCGCCGCCTGCCCCTCTGGCTCTGGCTCTCGCCTAAGACACACCAGGGAGCCGCCCAACAGAGCCGCTGCCACTGCAGAAAGGCCTCCCCGGCTCCGCGGAGAAACGGGGTCTAGGATATGTCTCCTGAATGACCAATCTCCCTGATTTGCAGTAGGTGTCCTTCCGGCTCCAGGAGGTGCTTGTGGGGGCCTGGCTTTGCGCTCCTGCTGGGTCCTCAATGCCCACCCCCATCCCCCCCATGTCGTGTTACATTTCCTGTTGAGCGTCTTCCTGCCTGGTCCTTACTGAGTCCCGTGAAGCCCAGGGATAGGCAGGCCCTCCCCATGCCCATGGGAGCTTAGTGGAGGAAGCTGGTCCCCTCTCGCAGAGGGAGGGACCAAGCACTCACCTCAGGTCGCCTATACTTGGGTTTTAGGGAAGCGTGTCCCCAGCCTGTCCAAGGCACCTGAGAGCCCGAGGAACATGCTCGTCACACAAGGATGGCTGTCCACTTAGCCTGGCCACGCTACTTTGACATATCAGCCCTGACCTGAGCCACATCGGTCTGGAGGTCACACACACAGCTCCCCTGCATGAGTCCCGTTCCACCACCCCCTCCCCGCCCCTCTCCCTGCCACAGGGGGTGCAGTCAAAGGCCTCTCCCTAGTCCAGTCCAACTCGAGGTCTGCTCTAATGATGGCGAAAGGCTGCAGGGCAGCAGGGGCAGAGTCTCCCCCGGGGCAGCTCATGACCCCCTCGCTCAGCATTGCAAGGACAAGGGGTGCCTCAGGCCAGTGTGGAGGCTACTGAGCTACCTGTTCATATCAAATCCCTGGTGACAGCCCACCCAGGCCTGTCCAGTGGAGCGTTTCTTCCCACATGGACACTGGGTTTCAGGCTCAGCCGGGACTGGGTGTGTCTGGACACAGTGCCCCAGCCAGCAGGGTCTGGTGGTGTAGAGGCCCACCACAACACAAGGACACCCATATTTCTCCAGTGGCTGCTGAGCTCTGGCTGCCCTGCAGCAGTGTGCCAACACCGGCGGGAGTGGGGGAGGAGACGCAGGGCGGTATAAGGTTAGGCCTGTGAGCACCTACACCACCACCACCGGGGAGTGGAGATCAGTCAGCCCTCAGGCTCTGGGCCAGCACCCAGCTTGCAAAATGAGTGGAGGGAGCCAGGTGTCTTGGGTTCTGCCCTGCCTCTGCAGTGGGAGCTTCCAGGCCCCGCACTTTCCCAGAGGCCGAGCTCCCTAATGGACTGAGCTGGAAAGAGGGGGCAGAATGGGCAAAAGCATCCCCTCAGACACACAGCGGCCGTAGCAGCGAGCAAATCTTTTATGACAGTACACCTGACAAGTAGCCCCCACCCCCAAGGGGGCCAAGCCTGGTCCCGCCCCAGAAGGGTACTTCCGGCCTGCTGGCCAGGCAGGCAGGCCGCGAGAGAAGCGGCTACACTAAGACAGCCCGAGGGTCCTCTCCAGAAAGGCCGGAGCCCGCGCTGCACAGCGAGCCCATCTCCTCTCTAAGCCCTGCCTCAGCCTCGGCCTCGTCACCTAGGGAAGAGGGTAGGGCGTCAGGGTGAAGGGGGTGCCCTGGGACCCCAAAATTCCCACTGGCCCTCCATATCCATGCCCCGGCACTCTCCCACATGGACTGGTCCTCAGGGAGGGCCTACAGGGGGAACAGTGGTGGGCACTGTTAAGAGGGGCAAGCTGGGAAAGGCAGGTATGTAGGGAGGCAGGGGCCAAGGCTGTCTGGGTTGGAGATGCCAAGAAATGATGGGGGGTGGGGGGGTGATGTAGGTGTGGGTGGGACATAGGAGGGGAGGGTTATGTGTCCCTGTGGGTGGAGCACACAGGGGAGGGCAGAGGAGGGGCCTCACCAGGCACAGTGAAGTCCTGAGTGTAGATGATGTCGTCCTCCATGTCCAGCAGGCCGTCACCGTCCTCGTCCATGTCGCCGGCGCAGCTGTGCAGGTCTTCGAGGTAGGGCACCACCGTCATGCTGCGCCACCGGTCCTTAGCGTCTGGGCTGGGAGGGATAGGCACCGGAGCCTCGGCCGCTGGGTGCTTCTTACGGAACCAGCTGTGAGGAGACATGGCAGGGAGATCTCGGGCTGCAGCCAGGCTGGACGCAGGCCCCCCAAAGCCCAGACTGCGCCCAGCAGTGCTGGGGCTCCAGTCAGCTCACGACAGGGTCACCGGGACCACAGCAGCCCATTGTCCTGACACCACTTCCCACCCTATGGCCACCTGGGCCTTCTCAGGACTCTGCCAGCTCACCAACGTGCCCCACTGCACTCCTCCCCCACCCCCGCCACTCACACACTCACCCACCTGTGGCGCCGAATCTGCTGGATGGAGAGCCTGCGGGCCGGCTCATACTCAAGCATTCCTGAGGGTAGAGATGCTGTGGTGAGCAGAGCATGCAGGTCCAGGCCCCACGCCCTCCTGCCACTTCCAGGTCAACCCTCCACGGGTCTGCCCAACCTCTGCCCAACCCTCCACGGGTCTGAGGAGCCAGGGCGCTGGACAAACTTGTCTTCCTGCCAGAGTTGAAGCAGGTGGGCCAAATTGCCCGGAGCCACCACCACGTCCACCTCCAGCAGGGACTGCATGTGCGATAGTGATCACGTTGCTCAAGGACCACAGGGGTTTGGGGGCCCTGCGTTACACCCAACCAACCATGAGCTCCAGTGGGCTGGTCCCACACCAGGGATTGACTAACTTGTGGAGAGGCTACCAGCAGCACTGAAGGGGCCGCCGAGCCCTTCTCAGCATATGGCTCCCCACCCCCACCACTACCACCTGCCCCCAATCACTGACCTGCCTGACCTGAGTCCACACGCAACGCTTATCAAGAACAGGGGCCAGAGAGAACCAGCACATGCCTCGGGCGGCCACCAAGCCTATGGCCTCACAGAGGGCAAAGCCCAAACCAGACTCGCTGCCATCTCAGTGATGCCAACTCACAGCAACCCTGCAGACAAGGTGGATCTGCCCGTGTTTCCAGGACACCAACTCTTCAAGGGAGCAAAAAGCCCTCTTTCTCCCACAGAGTGGCGGTGGGTCCACTGCTGACCAGAGCTGAGGAGCTACAACCCCTGGGTGTCCGCAACCCCTGTGGCCTCATAGCTCGTGGGCATCAGGAAATGACACCCCCACTCCCCACCCACAAAGGGTCACACACAGCAGTACACCAGAGCCTGTGGGGGGGGTCCCAGCTGGACCAGGAGCCTCATCCCTCCATGTGCACGTGGGACCACCAAGCACCTTGATCCCCATCTAGAGGCCTGCCAAGAGTTCGCGGTCAGTGTTCACATAAAGGTGGGGGCCGCCGAGATCAGGCAGAGGCACTTAGGATGACAGGCATGGGGGGTCTACATGCAGTGCCCGGTCAGCACTGAGACCTGGAACCTCAGATAAGGTGGCACAGGTGGTCTGAAGGCTGCAAGGGGCTTCTGTCAGCTGGGGCAGCTCCCACCATAACGGTGAGGACTAAGTGACATCACCCTAAAGACAAGCGGGATTCGCCTGTCACATGGAGCTCATGGGGACCAGAGCCACTGGAGATGCCATGAGCACGACTGCAGAGAGACACAGAGCTCCGCAGGACAGAGACCGCAGCCTTGCTCCTGTGTGTGTACACTTGTCCGTCCCCAGTAATGCTCTTTTATGTGTGTGAGCACTTTTATCTGTGGCCTACGGAGACCCAGGGACCAGCTCCTACAGGACAGGGAATGTGGACCTACTGAGACCCAGGGACAAATGCTGCAGGCCGTCCTTGTACCCAAGACCCCGCTGCCTCTCAGACACAAGTCTTGAAATGCACTGGAAAAGCACCCTGCTCAGTGGCCCTGGGCCTGCCAAGGGCCAGAGTGGACAGGACAGCAGCTGACTGCCACCCGGTGGCCAGCATGGGGAACAGAGCCAAGCGCAGGTCAGGACCAACCAGGAAGGAACCAGGCAGCTGCAGGGGCAGGCTGATGAGAACACACAGGAAACCCTCCAGCCAGACCAGGCTATCCAGGGTGGCGGCAGGAAGCTCTGGGCAGGGCCTGCAAGTCACCCAGAGGATGCTGGGGGTCACCACGAGCAGTTGGCCGGACAGCAGCTGGCTCTCTCCCCACCTGGGACAGGCACAAGCTCTGCTCCAAGTGCCTGCTTGCACAAAAGGCAGGGCCTCCAGGACCCTGCAGCACCGTGACCAGCAATCCTACTGGAAGCAAAGCCAACACAGCCAAATGCCAAGCCAGCCACACAGAAGGGACAGCTGATTCTACAAAAGTTCACAGAAAGCCTGCCACAGAGCCAGGACCCCAGCGCAGGGACAGGTGCTGGGTGGGGGTTGCCCTGTGACCCACTCAACCACCTCCCATGCCCTGCCTCAATGGCACAAAGCTACTGGGTGGGACTATGCAACCGTGGTACAGGTCACCCAGGGATTGGTCAGCCTTCCATACACGCAAGCCGGCATGCAGAACCCTTGCTGGCCGGTGATGATGGTGGCGGTGAGTCGCCTGATTCAGCCACGCTCACTGTCGTCCTCCGTCTGCTGCGGCCCTGACAGTCTGCTTCTACCGGACCAAGGCTGAAGCCCCCACGAAGTCCCACCACCTTTACTTCTGTGTTCCCTTCATTCTCTGACCGTCCACAGGACCGACACTCTGCCCACACAAGGCCGAACACACCGCTGTTCGTCCTCTTTCCTCTCGCCATCTAGTCGGTCCCACTCACAGCGGGCTGACTGCTGGCGCAGCCGCTGGCTACTGCACCAGCCTCACCATCGTGCCTGTGTGAGAGCCCACTGATCTGACGCAGCGGCGGGGACTCCATCGCACGAGAGCCTTCCCCGTTTCCGCTGCTCCTGCACTTTACCAAGCGTGATGTCCTTCTCCAGGGACTGGTGTCCGCATCCTCCGCTCTCCAGGGCACGCTGGCTGCGCTTGTTCTGAGACAGTCCACAGAACTGTCAACACATCGGCTTTCCTTCCTTTCCCTTTTACAATGGAGGGTCATTCAACTGTGGAGTGGGAATGTGCAAACAAGCTCACCACCATCAAGATGAGCCACGAGCGAGCCTTGTCCTCGGAGCCCAGGGTCCCAGCACTGGGAACAGCGTCCCCTGGTTTGGGACACAGAGACTATCTGACAAGGCAGCAAGCTCAGCGACCTCCAGCCGTCCTTGAGACAGAGCTCAGCTGTCCGCAGCACTGGCCAATCCTCTCTGCCAAGACCCTGTCCTGACAGAACCACCGGGTCAGACGCGTTAGTTTCTTCCAGGCAGACTGCCATCTGAACACAGCAAGTTGTCAGTGCCATCCAAGTCCCTGGGCACACAAGTCCACCCTCCACCAGGGGGGAGACGGAGGGAGCTGTAGCTGCCAGGCAGAAAGCAGGGCAGGAGGCCAAGGGCTGCTCACCGACCACCCGCTGCTGCACCCTGAGTTGCCAGCACCAGCGGCTGGAAGCCGTGGGCAGATGCCAGCCACCCGGTGGTTGAAGCATGTGCCACTTCCTCGAGTCCCCAAGCCCATGTGGCCTCCAGGACAGGGAACTCCAGCAGACTTTGCTCAGTAGCCCACCCAGGGGCCCTGCTGATACCCTCACAAGCACCTCATCCAGCCATGTGCCCCCAACCATGCCTGTGTACCAGATCCAGCTGCCAGAGCTGTGTGGCAGGAGACCCTGCTAGCCAACAACAGGGCCTTCCTAGGGCCTGTCCCTGAGCACCTCCTCCACTGGAGCCCACTGTCCCTGCCCGGCTCACCCCACCTGCCCCACACTACCTCTCAGTAGGTCGGACAAGGGCGGGCCACAGTCACTGGGGATGGTGTAGTCCCCCTTCCCAATGTTCTCAAACAGCTTGTAGATGTTGTCGCCTTCAAAAGGGTAGAGGCCCGTCGTGATGTTGTAGCTGTGTGTGGAGGGAGGAGCACTAAGGGTGGGGTCTGCATGGGCGCCCATCACAGACTTAGGAAGTGGGGGGCCCCTGGCACAATAAGGGCAGGATCTGAATGGGCGCCCACCAGAGTAGGGGAGGACAGGGCCTACACCCACAGCAGGGCACTTACAGAGTGACCCCCGCTGACCAAATGTCCACCTTGAAACCAGAGAAGGTGTCCAGACCGTTGGCGATCTCAGGTGGCTGGAAGGCTGGGGAGCCCTGGCTGGTCCTGCACGTGTCGTCCTCAGCAAATGGGTGCAGGGCCTGTGTGGCCGCAGTCTCATCAGTGTACCCGCCCACAGACCCTGGCCAGCCCCACCCGCAGGCCCCTGCCCGCCGGCGTACCTCGGCCACGCCCAGGTCGGAGATCTTGAGGGTGCCAGCGGTGGTGAGCAGCAGGTTGCCGGGTTTGATGTCCTTGTGCACGATGCCCTGGCTGTGCAGGTACTCGAGCCCGTCTATGAGCTGGCAGAAGTACCTGTGGGCAGGCACACACTGGCCCAGGCCCTCCACTATGGTGTTCCTTGAGCCCCAGGGAGTGATGGAATTGGTGGCGGGGGTGGGGGGGTGGGGGTGGAGCTGTGGACTCACCCATGGGCCTGGCACACAGGGAACCTCTTCTCAGGCACGCTGTCCAGCATCTCCTGCATGCCGCACACGCAATACTCCATCACCATATACGTGTGCCCGTCAAGGAAAGCACAGCCAGGACCACCTGCCCGCCCTGCCCCAGGCACCCGGCACACCGGGCAGAGGGCACCACCGTTCCACCATGAGGCTGACTCACGACAGGAGTTGGGCGCCCACCTGCCATTGTGTGTCTTTTGACTGCAAGGAGGCTCCGAGCCAGGCAGCCCCTGGCAGGATGTCTCCACGCCCCCTCAGTATGCGCTCACACTCACCACACAGCACGCTGACACACTCATACACATACTATGCTCACACACACAGGATATATCTTCTGCTTCTCATACCACAGCCCCCACCCCCGTGTGCACACGCACGCGCGCGCACACACACACACACACACAGGATATATCTTCTGCTTCTCCTCGTTGCACAGCACGTCCACAAGCTGGATAACATTGCGGTGCTGCAGCCGTCGCAGGAGCTGGATCTCCCTGCAGGACGGGGCAGGGTTAGCATACCCCATCCTCACCCCGACCATTCAGGCCCCAGACCCAGGCTAGCCATCCTGAGGTCAACGAAGGCTGTGGAAGGAGCAGGTGGGGGGCCATCTGCTAGACAGGGGAAGAATGTGGGGACCAGCTAGAAGAGGACCCATGCCCACCTGCACAGGCTAGATTGACCAGTCACCCTTCCCCAGGTTAATTCCTGCCCCACTGACTCCAGGCAGGGCACAGGCTCACAGTCCGGCTGACAGACAGCAGCTGGACTCTCCCAGCGTTCACAGGGCCACACACGACATATTGCAACAGCTCTGCTGCAGGGTGCACTGGTGCCCATTAGCAGATGCAGCACCCATGGGTGTCCCAACACGGAATGCAGGGGTGGGGGCTGTCTGCCTGCACAAGACTCGGGTCTAGATGAATGGCTCAGAGGTGCTGCAGATGGTCTGCCACAGGGTCTGAGCAGGGGGCACTGGGGAGCCTGCCTGGGCTCACTCTTGTCTCCAAGGCCAAGTAGAGGCCCTGGTTCCTGGGATAGATATCGAGGGGGCACTGGGCCTTCTGGCTCCCAAGAGACCCCAACAGGCCACTTAGATGTCCTGATCTGACTGGGGACCGCGTCTACAGGGACAGTATGTCACTTGTGTGGAGGGTGTAGTGTGTCGTGTGTGGTCTGTGGACACTGGGGGTTTGTGATGTGTCCCTTGGGGTCTGGGGACATCGGGGGTGGTGTGATATAGATGCGCTAGGGGGTGGTGGCATGGACGTCGGGCCAGGGCCTAGGCAGAAGAGGGCTGGCCAGCCAAGCCCCAGGAGCACAGGCTGCTGCGGCCAGAGCGTCCATCCGTCGAGGGAAGTATTGCTGACAGGAAGGAAATGGGGCATTCCAGCCAGGGGGGTGGGGTGGGGGGGTGGGGAAGGGGGGGAAGGGAGAGAGGTCCCACGTGAAGTGTGCGAGGATCTCCACTGGAGATCCGGGGCCCTGGACACCAGCGCATGGCCCAGAGCTGCACGGACAGCTGCCCACCCGCGTGGAGTGAGCAGAGGAGCCGTGGATGGGCACAGCCGTACACATTGTTCGGGTTCTGCACGGAGCAAGCAGGGGCCTGCACGATAGCTGGGCTCCAGCCATGGCCGAGTGTCGGGAGGGGCCTCTGACAGCTAAAAGGGGCTACCTGCTGGGACCCCGAGAAAGATGCAGGGGCTCACTGAGGGGCAGGAAAAACCCGCTTGCAATGTCTACAGCTATGTTCTGACTGGGTCAAGAGGTGGGGCAGCCTACCGCAGTCCATGTCCACACAAGGGGTGTCACCAGGCCATTGGGGGAGGGGGGGACACTGGCCACAAGGTGGACAAGCCTGGGACACTTGGTCCTGAGAGAGAGGAGCTGGACATAAAAGACTGGGGTCACGTGGCACCATGCATATAAAGCAGGTGGACGCCTTTAGTCAGAGCAGCCCTGTGGGCTGGGGCAGGGTGGGCTCAGGCTTCTGTGTGGATGTAGCAGAACATTCTGGCAGCGGACAAGTCTGTCCCCTTGGCATGGGATCGATGTGAGCTGCCATGGACCGCAAGGGGGACACACAGTGGACGGCCTGTGGCGGGCACTCCCCAGCTCACTCGGGCTAAGCCTGGCCCCTAGAGGTTGGAAGGGTGGCTTCCCAGGACCAAACATCTGACCTGCGCCACTGCCAGAACCTCAGGTCACAGGAGGTCACAGCAGAGACGCCCAAGGCTCCTGTGAGCAGCCCCCCCGCCCAGTGGGCCCATCAACCCCCACACTAGTAACCACCAGCAAGACCCCCCCTGCACACACTGTTCGCAAACTTGGGACATGTGACAGTGGGCGGGTGGATGGGCTCTGAGGGGACACACTTTCTCCCTGCCCAGAACCCCCAGCTCACCCAGTTTCTCACAGGAGGGTATCCAAGCGATCAGAAACCTCAGAGGGGCCTGGTCACGGTGCAGGACAGGAGTCCCTGTCCCAGGGCTTCCTGTAGTCCCAGGAAGCAGGGAGCCCGAGAGGGCTTGGAGATGCTCTGGTGCCCAAGGAGACCTTTCTCCCTGGCCAGGCCAGGCTGGTAATGCGGCTGCCAGGGGGCAGGGACGGGGACACTGGTAGAGGAGCTCACAGGCCCGCTGACCACCCGGACGCTCAGCTCCCTGGCTCCCCCACAAAGCCCCAGCAGGGCCAGCACACAGTCTGCTGTGCTTGGCGGCAGGGGTACTTTCAAAAGTCCAGGTGACTCGGCCAGGGTTTTTGTGCCCAGTGTCCTGTGACAGTAGTGTCCAGTGGGGGCCTCAAGCACTTTCCCCAGAACAGAGTACTTTCTGGAATCTCTTCTGTCCTGACACTGGGTAGTGTGCTTGTCAGCACCTGGACAGCGAGTCCCTCCCTGGGGCCCCAGGCAGTGGCCTGACAGGGGCCTCTGCCCCAAAGGCTCTATACTCCTGCCTCAGCAGGACCTATACTCATCACCTGCCAGCGGTCGTCTCCCTCCTGACCCCCACAGCCTGGACCTCCCCACTCCTGACCCCACAGCCCTGGACCT